ATCAGGCTATGTCTAGACTACATTCTATTTTCAAAAGAGGATATGCAAATTCTGTGGGAATTTGCATATCTTCTTCTGAGCTCACTTTCGAAAGAGGATCTTTCAAAAGTGAAAGTAGTTTTTTTGAAAAAACAAACCCTTTTTTGAAAAAAACGCTCTTCAAAAAATGGCATAAACCTCCTTTTTTTTTTTAAAGGAAAGGCCTTTTTTCCAAAAAAAAAACCCCACACGTCCAAACTACTTTCACTTTTGAAAAATCTGCTTTTGAAAAAGCGATTGGAAGATATCTCCTTTTGAACCCTCCCGTATTTTAGATGTACCCTTAGTTATTCCCAAGAGTGCCAATGCCTGATAGTGTCTTGGAAACTATTTAAAATAATCTCATCCTATAGCTCAGATTATTAAGGCAAAGAGGAACTATACCATTATTTGGTTTGGAGTTGGCATGTGGAGGCATTTCTTTAGAGAAATGTCCCATTCACAGATTTAACCCTAGTTTGATTTAAAAGTCTCAGAGGGGTAGCCATGTTGGTCTGTAACAACGAGTAGTCCTTGGTACCTTGGAGTCTATATGTGAGTCCTGTCAATGATTGCTTGTGATGACTCTGAGCAAGAAGGAAATGTCATACAGAGACAAGTTCCTCTTGTAGCAGTGATGCTAGGGCCGAGACTGTCACAGAGAAATCTTGCCTACTCAAGAAAATGTTAAATTTTCCTTTGTTGCTAATATTGGGTTGCTGGAAGCTTTCTTAGTGATGCCAGAGCGTTGGTGTATTCAGGGCTTTGGCTACGGACGCTATTTCAGCACTGTGTTAATTAGCCTTTCTGCCAACTGAGGTTAGGTGACTATGTGGAAAACTATGTCTGCAGCTGGCAGGCAGTCTACATGAGGGCTCCTAAGAATGGTGGGAAACTTGTCAAACATTTTCCTATTATAGATGAGGCTAAAGCTGCTAATACAGCTCTCACATTTGGCTTTGATAATTCTAGAAGTGAGAGCTGACCAACTTTTCGTGCATATCAGAAGGGCCCAGATGAGCCAGTTAATGCCTTACACACTAGTGTGGACTTAAGCACTTTGTAGGCAAACCCTAAATTTCTGTGATGTCTTATTTGTCCCAGTCATGATCAAAGCTGTGAGGGTGACTGTGTTTAGGCATTTGTTGTTTTGAACACATCTCTGACTTTCCTGTCTAAGAATAAAATGTGTGTGTTTAAGAAATTCCTTTGCAAAGCCGTGCTCTTTACAAGGTTGCCAATGTTCCCCACTGGATGGACCTGATGCCATTCACAGCAATAGCATCCATTAGGAAAGCTGGCAATCCTAGTTTCTTAATATAAATGCTGCGTGGTCCCTGAAGGGTTAAACCGCAAGCCACAGGTAAGTAGGACTTTGGGAGAATATGCAAAGCAGCTGGAGAGGCTTGAAAGCTCTTAACACTGATCTTGGGGCCTAAAGCAATTGGAGCATGGGATCTCACATCTCAGGGAAAGGTTTCAGACAGGAGGTTGTCATGTGGGAGTATCTTGGCCCAAGGAACAATGTCTGGACTCTGGCTTGGAAGCACATGGGATCCAAAGGGTGGCTTTAACTACTGCACACTGGAGACCAATTGCTAGGGGGCTGAGCCAGGACTGTGACAAATTATTGTTTTTCACGAGAAATTTCCAAAAACTTTAATTGAAAAAAATCTTCCGTGAAAGTGTTTAATTTTTTCATGAAAATCAGAAGCCCAAAATGAAAACATTTCAGGTTTCATAACAGCAAAACAAATTTAGCTTTTGTGTGTTATGCATTTCACCCCCATTTCCTCTCTTCCCCCTTTTTCATAGTTGCAAAAGGAAGAAATGGCTGGAGGAAGCAATATCTGAAAAATGTTTCCAACTAGAATTGTCAGCCAGCTCTATTTCCCCTATCCTTTTTTATGCACTTTTTTTCTCCTATTACCCAGAATAGCACTCTACCCATGAACATAGACTCCACCATCTATAAGTCAGTTCATTCCCAACGGTGGGGTTTTTTGACTGAGAACAGCACATAGTAAGGGCACCGTACAATGCTAGAAGCTAATATTTGTGTAAGGGGGTTCCATTCAGTAGAGATTCTGATAAGCCTGGAAAAGTAAGATTTCATGGTAGGTTTTTAAAGACAAGGCTCTTTATAAGTGCTTATTCTGCATTTTCCAACCATTTCTTATTTAAAGTTTTACTTATTAAATTGTTAGTTTAAATAAAGCCATCCCCCTTTCTGTGATTAGTCTGTGTTTTTGACTCTTTGCTTACATTAGTTTCAGTGGGTCATTGGTTTTCCCTATATAAATTTCATGGCGTGTGTACCCAATTGGAAGCAGTGTTTCATCTAATATCTGGTAATGGACTTCTCTTCCTAGAGGAAACACTATTAGAATATAGATAACAATTTCCTAACTCAAGAACTATTGCATCCAGCTCTGGGGAATTCTATATTAGACCTTGTATTGACAGATAAACACTACTGAACTCTTTGAAAGCATGTGTGACACAGAACCTGCAAATAGCTCCTGCATCTAGGCAAACGTCTGCATTTGCAAAGGTGGAGGGGGGGACGGCACAGTAGCATAGCAGCAGGGCAGGGGCTCACACAGTAACCATGTTTTTTTCATCCCCCCTTTTGCCAGGAAAGTGCAACTGTCCCTTCCTACAGGAGTGGGAAGGGATCCAAGAGTGGTGGCAAGGGCCCACACAGTGAGTATGTATTTGGCACTCTCTGTTTGCCATGAGAGTGCAACTTTCCCTTCCCACAGGAGCCTGTGGTGGGGAGGTGGTCTGGGTGTGGCAGCAGGACAGGGGCTTAAATCATGCTTTGTTGGGGATGAGCAAAAGGAGTTGTACTGCTTCAGTGGCATCAGTTAATAGCTTTTCCTGCTTCATCCAGGTTGCCATGCACAATATTAGTCTTCTCTGAACCACACAGAGTGATAGGGAGTGGATGCTGACTGAATGTGGCCAGAAACCTGGACCTTCTGATGCAATGATGCCAGACCATTTACTGCTGGCTTGGCCTGGGAAGGTGCCCTACCATAGAGAATGGAATAATACAGGCCTCCCCAGAAACCTAGTGAGAAGGATGAAAGAGTTCCTCTATGAGAGCTTCATGGAGAAGTGCAGGGAAGATTCCCACTCTGTCTCCAGACACATTAACAAACTGTTCCTGGGAGCCACTGGCTGTGTAGGCAGAGTGGCCACCATAAATCAAACCCAATTTCCTTAACCCACTTGTAGCATCTTAAAAAATGTGAACTCACCAGAAGTGCCTTCTCCGCCATCAGGGTCTGGCAAAGAGATGTCCTGAGAAGAGGGGATTGACTCCAAAGTCATAATAGAGCCTAGCTGTTGGTGAAATCAGATGCTCTGCTTGTTTGCTGACCATTCTCCTCCTCCTCTTCCTCATCCTCACTGTCCACCCCACTGTTGCCTGAGGCTGCCTGAGGAGTCTCCTGGGAGGAATCCACAGACTGGCCAGGGAAGCTGGTTGAGTTTCCCTCTAGGATAACATGCTACTGCTCATAGAAGTGCAAGTTTGTGGCGCTGACCCAGACCATCCATTTGCCTCTCTTGTCTTCTGGTACAACTGCCTGATCTTGATTTTCATGCGGCACTGCTGGGTGTGCCTGGAGTTTCCTTTTTCTTCCATGATTTGTGCAATCTTGGCATAGCTATCAATGTTTCTTTTGCTGCTTTGCAGTTCTGTCTGCACAGATTCCTCTTCTCACACAGCAAAGAGGTCCAGAATCTCCTGCATGCTCAATTCGTGATCTGGTGTGGTACTGAGGTGTACTACCTGCTATGAGGTCTGCTCACCATGCTGGCCAAACAGACAATGATATTCAAACTTTCCCGGGCCTTTTCCTGTGCACCTTGAGAGCAGCAGAGTTGAAAGTCCTGGCCAAAACGCTCACATTGGGGCACCTCCTGGAGGCCAAGAATGTTGACTTTCATAGTGCAGTGTCTGCACTACTTGCAAATCAATCATGCAAGATCTAATTTACTGTTACTCCTCATGAAAAGCAGGAGTAGCAAAATCAACTTTAACAGCCCCTAAAGTCAGTGGAATGGGCTGGCTAGTTTGGACTCATTGTTTAGAACATTGACCTAATGTGGCCAAGTTTCACCTAATCTCCTACTGTAGACCAGGCCTCACTCATTCACTCTCGATGTTTGAAAAGTCCCATTTCACAAAACAATTGTAAGACAAATCAGTGGGGAGAGAGAATTTAAATAGAGAAAATGAATGACAATTGGGCATTGTTTAAGAACATTTTACTAGATGACCCTAAAGCTACCTACACTTCTGTATAGCATTTAAATTGGAACTGCACAATATTTTGATTAAAAAACTAGAATATAAAATTAGTATGGCAGACATTAAATTGATTAAAAACTTGCTGACAGGTCATGGAAAATGGGGACCATCATTGTTGAGAAGGTATGTTTCTAGTGTGGCCCTCCAGGTTCGTGGCCCTATACAATTTAACATTTTTATCTCTGTCCTGAAAGAAAACAAAATCATCACTGAGAAAGTTTGCAGATGACACAAAGATTGGGTGATGAGTGAGAAATAACGAAGAGGACAGGACACTGAAACAGAGCAATCTGGATTGCTTGATAAACTGGGTTCAAGCAAACCATAAAACCAACGTTTTTAATATCACCAAATGTAAAGTTACATACCTACAAGCAAAAAATGTAGGCCCTACTTATAGGGAACTCTATGATGGGGTGGGGGTTTCTCTGGGGAAGCAGTGACTTTGAAAAATCTTGGTAGTGTAGGCAGATACAAGCAGACAAACAAGAATTCCCAGTGTGATGCTGTCATAAATAGGAGCTGTTAAGGAGAATCTGACTTACCTGAAGAGTGAGGAAAGGGTTAAGCAACTGGAGATGCACCTAGGGAAGGGGTTTGAGCAATCAGCCAATAAAAATGCAGATAGGAATTTCAACCCGGGACAGAGGGGTTTTTCTTTCTTCTTTGTTTTGAGATCAGAGCAGTTTCTCTCAGATATTTAGGGAGATGGAAGATGCTTTCTCTCTCCAAGAATGGACTTCTTGAAATGTGTAAGTAGGGAAAAGTTTAGCTAGTCCGTCAAGGTTTATTGTTTTTCTTGTTTTGGGGGTTTGGAAATCATGTCTGAGCTAGCTAATTGTTTTTCTTTTTTGTAACTAAGGATTACAGTCCAGGGACTTTCCCTGAGTCTATGTCATTTCATGGCTATTTACCACCTAGTCCAGTGTTTCCCACTTGGTGCTCCGGGGAACCTTGGGGATCCATGAAGCGAAAGCAAGGGTTCCGCAAAGAGCCGGCACTCCCCCGCCCTATGAGCATGACAGAGCCATGGCGAGGGCTTTTTTTTTTCTTTTGCTCAACGAACCGCGGCAGGGACCTTTTTTTTTTTTTTAAAGGCAACTCTAGGGGTTCCGTGGCCAAATAAAATTGGGAAACACTGACCTAGTCAATTTACTATGCTTGCAATAGTAGTTTGTTTTGATAATAAAAGTTTTCCTTTTGTTTTGATTAACCGGTATTGGTTGACTGTTGTGTCCTTAGGGTTACATGCCTAGTTACTCAGGCAGAGTCCATTGTTCTCTGCGGATTCCCTCTGTTTGTTTCCCCAACTCCAGGCAAAATGGAGATTGGGGCAAGGAGGAAAGCTTTGCCTTAGGGAGAGGATTTCCAAGTGATCTCTTCCCTGGAAAAGGGTTTATTTTATATCTTTTTAAGTACACTTGGATGGTGGCAGTGAATTTTTATTTATCTTTTTTTCTTGGATCTCAGGGAGACTGAGACCGGATAAGCTTGTCTCTGGGAGTGTCAGAGACAGGTTTTACAGGGTTTATTCTGCTAGCAGCCCCCCATCTCTGCATGCAGAGTGTCAGGTTGGGGGATTGAGCTGCGACACATGCTGTAGCCAAAAAGGCTAATGTGAGCTCTGAATGTAAATACAAGGGAATTTGAATAGGCGTAGGGGCCTCTGAATTTGGCATTTAGGAAATTGCTACTGGAATACTGTGTCCAGCTCTGGTGCGCACAATTCAAGAAGAATTGTTGCTAAATTGTAGAGGGATTGGAGAAGAGGCATGAAAATGATCAAAGAATTAGAAAGCCTGCCATATAGTGATAGACTCAAGGAGCTCAAGCTACTCATTTTAACAAAGAGAAAGTGAAGGTTGACTTGATCACAATCTATAAATACCTGCCCGGAGAACAAATATTTGATGGTGGACTCTTCAGTCTATCAGACAAAAGTATAACATGATCCAATGGCTGTAAATTGAAGTGAGTCAAAATCAGGCTAGAGATAAGGTATGCATTTTTAACTGGCAGGGTAATTAAGCATTGGAACAATTTACCAAGGGTCACGGTGGATTCTCCATCACTGGCAATTTTTAACTCAAGATGGGATTTTTTGTTGTTGTTTAAAGCCATGCTCTAATTCGAACAGCAGTTAATTCAGTAAAGTTCCATGGCCTGTGCTAGGCAGAAGATCAGTCAGTGTGATCAAAGTGATCCCGTGTAGCCTTATAATTTGTGAAAGCTCCAGTAAACCCAAGTCTCCTGCATGCCTGTGGACTGCTGCCTATAAGATGGAAAAATTTCTGAAAGGGAGGTATTAAAATATTGCACTACATTGAATATGATGCACTCTACCATACTCAGAGTCCTCTGTGATGAATATGATTGAAGTAGTAATATCTGGTTTTAGTGACAAGTAGCTATTGGGATCAGGGTTCTGTTATATGTTAATTATTTGGCTATTGTCAAGTAAACCTGATTCCTAACACTTTTTTTAGGGCTCTGACATTAGACATCATCCTCTTCATACTGCCTCATGTACAGCAAAAATAATTAGTTGTAAAATGCATTCTGAACAAACAATGGGAAAGAAAAAGAAAATATATTTAATATTTTTAACTCCACACGCTTTTGGGTTTCTCAGCATGTCTTATGTGTTTTGGTTGCAGCCTTTTTCGGGCAGGGCATCTTTCTGAACAGCATTATGCACATCACTGATCTGTAATGTTTTTGGATTCTAATTCATGTCTGCAGTGTAATGTCTATCTTTAGAAGCTAATTTATATGTTGTAATAGTGCTGCTGGTAAAAGTTGGTCCCCAGACTCCTATAGCATTTTCAAGGCTTATTTCTTTCTTTGCTTTTGTTTAATACCGATGACACATCCCTTAAGGATAAAAGGCATTTTAATAACCCTCTTCTAGCAGCAAGGAATTTTGGCACCTGCTTCAACATTGATAGCAGAGAGCATCTGTACCATTTGCTGTGATCGTGCAGTGAGAGAGTTGACTTCATTTCTACAGCAAAGTTATGTCTATAATTTCCCTTGATTGCAGTCTAGGTTCATTTAATTTGTGCTCAAGGGCCCTTCCAATAAAGTGATTTCTACTGGATGAAATATCTCGCTATAGCCTAGAGGCCAAAATGTAACTTACTCTAGTATTTCTAATGAATACCACATATCTGCTATATTCAGGATGTGCTAGGAGTCCATTTTGGATATTGTAAAAAATGGTAAGAGCTGGGTAGCAACTTGAAAATGTATTTATGGAAATCTTCCCATCAGGCATAAGAGGTCTCCTAGCACTTGGAACATGAAAGCTCTAAGATTTTCCTTGTTGTTTTCCTAGTCCTCCTTTGAATAAAAATTCTTTTATTAGATTAGGATCACCTGCAGATGTAAATACCCTGGTAGCCCCACTGAGGGACTGCAGTGTTTTGTTATAGATTGGGGAAAGATTAAGACTGAAAAATATTACTGTGGAAAGGAGAGGCATTTGTTGGCTCTTACAAAATGCAACTTTCTCAGCAGGGGTTAGGTAAAAATAAACTCTAGAAAGAAAAGAAAAATTTACCAGCACTGAACCAAAAGAGCAGGAGAACATGGACAAAGGTTATTTCCAGGGGGAATTTGAACACTTCTGAGAGTCCTGATACACACACACACACACACACACACACACTCAAAAGCCACCCACTGCACTATCATAATTTTTTTCTCTTCCTCTCATCCTTTGCTTATTGCTTCTAATTAAAACTAGACTGTGTATGTATTTATAAAATAAATAAAATGACTGTGAATGCAAGGACAGGTTATATGGAGGTAGTGACATGCTTTTTGATGGAGGAAGGGACAGCTAGGGTACATAAGCGTAAGTTATACTGTCTGCTGAAGTGGTTCTTGGAAACAGTTTGACATCTCTTATATGCCCTTCATGGGAGTTAGAGACACTCTGGCTTAGTCTACACTGCAGGGTTTTTGCTAAAGAAGCCTTTTGTGCAAGAGCTTTTGTGCAAAAACGTCTTGCGCAAGAGCACCTCCAGACCGCAAATTGCACTGCAAAAGTGATGTGCTTTTGCGCAAGAGTGTGTCCATACTGCATGGACACTCTTGCGCTAGAAAGCTCTGATGGCCATTCACAGAATGACCATCAGAGCACCCGTGCTTTTTCCCATAGGGGTTTCTTGCGCAAAAACCCTTCTGGAGTAGCCACACCTGACTTTTTGCGCAAGAGGTGTAGCGCAAAAAGGAGTTATTCCTCATGGAGAGAGGAATAACTCTACTGGCAAAAGCCCTCTGTTCTGTCAATTTTCTTGCAAAAAATGCGCTTGAGGGTGGATGCTCTGCCATTTTTTGCACAAAAATGGCCATTTTTACGCAAAACCTTGTAGTGTAGACATAGCCTCTGAGTAGAAACACTGCTGGTTAGAGAACTTGGATACAGAGAACAGCTGACACCATCAGCATCACACAGAATGGAGCTGGCACCCTTCAACACAGGAAGGATAAAGGGGGCCCTGAAGGTAGGGAGGTTGGGGGGGGAGGCTCCTCCAGTTGCACAGTGGATAAGATACCTGCCTCCAGAGCCAGAGGTCAAAAGTTCAAGCTCCCCTTCCACCCCCAGTCCCCCTGGGCATGCCCACACAGCAGTGTGGACATCCCAGAGGGGTTTCTTGCACAAGAAACCCCTATGGGAAAAAGCACAGGTGCTGTGATGGCCATTCTGTGAATGACCATCAGAGCTTTCTTGCACAGGAGCATCCATGCAGTGTGGACACTCCCTTGCGCAAAAGCACATGGCTTTCGCTATGTGCTTTGAGATGTGGACATGCTCTTGCGCCAGAAGTTTTTGCGCAAAAACTCTTGCACAAAAGACTTCTTGTGCAAGAAGCATGTAATGTAGATGTAGCCACAATGAATAAGGTTAATACCACTCCTCCTGAAAGTTCCAGATCAATTGAAATGCTATCTTATGCCACCTAGTGAAATTGGCAATGCCCTCTTCCCCGAGAGCGTTTACTAAATTTATTTTGGTTCTGGACATCCAACACTCTGGTCATCTGAAAAAGTGGGATGTGCCCACAAAAGCTTATGATATCATCTACATGTTTTTAATCTTTAAAGTGCTACCAGACTATTTGTTGTTTTTAAAGTTTATCCTAAATTTAATAATGATCCATTCATCTTAGCTGTGTGTTAATTTGATAAAAAACATGGCTACGTCTAGACTGGCATGATTTTCTGGAAATGCTTTGAACGGAAAAGTTTTCCATTAAAAGCATTTTTGGAAAAGAGCATCTACATTGGCACTTTTTGCGGAAAAGCATGCATGCCAATCTAGACGCGCTTTTGTGCAAAAAAGCCCCAATCACCATTTTCGCGATCGGGGCTTTTTTGCGCAAAGCAAATCTGAGCTGTCTACTCTGGCCCTTTTGTGCAAAAGTTTTGTGCAAAAGGACTTTTGCCCGAATGGGAGCAGCATAGTATTTCTGCAAGAACACTGACAATCTTACATGAGATAGTCAGTGCTTTTGCGGAAATTCAAGCGGCCAGTGTAGACAGCTGGCAAGTTTTTCCGGAAAAACAGCTGATTTTCCGGAAAAACTGGCCAGTCTAGACACAGCCTACGTGTATATTATATGTGAAAGTTCAATGACTTGAAAAGAAAATCTATGTGGGGGAGGGAAGAGTTTGCATTTATTTATTTATCATATATATAGTAGCTCATTGTCTGTGCATCTGTAACGCTGACGTACACGGCCAC